AAGCATCTGTCCAGACCCAAGACAACAGCTCGGTTCTCATTGCTTTTTTTTTGGTATTTTAAATATTCCAGACAAGTTTAGTTTGCCAAAGGGTTAGAGACAAATCTGGTTTACAAATGTAATAAATTTGAATTGAATAAATTTTTTAGAGTAGTACTCATCAATAGACTGTTCTGTATGGTTGTTAAGGTGTTGCTAGGTTAATAATTAGCAATTGCAGTCAATACAGGGTTCCTGTTCCTAAATTAAATTTTCCTATTGAAGATGGTTGAAAGTTATATTATTTGTTGTCAATAGTTAAATCAATAGTAGCTCATATGGAATTAGTTTTCAAACTATTGAGCATTCTGTTAGCTACCATTTAAAAACCAAAAGCAAATCTGTTTTGTTCAATGGTAAGGCAGTGCAGATTCCCATAAAAATGCATCAATTTCCCAGTCTGCATTTAGTTTCTCATAAATTAATGGGCAAAGAATCATGTGGTCTCCTTGAATTTATGAGATTCCTTTATGAAATTCAATTCAACAAATCTAAACATGATTCCTCCAAATACAGCGTTCACATACTTTTAAATTTACTTTAAACGCTGATTTGTACCAAGATTGATCACTAACGAGATAACTAAAATGAAACTGCAGTAGAATGCACACTAATATGGACAATAACATTCCATTTGTTAGAAGTACGTACTGCAGTTTTGTCATTGACGCTTTAAAGGTGCCCAATAATGAAAATATGGGTATTCCAAGGCATGGTAAAATAATAAAAGATCAGTATATGGAAATGGGCATACTGTGAGGCTCAGAGACCACTGTTTCTTCATGTAAAGTGTAAAACCCTGGTGGACAATAGGCCAATCAGAAGACAGAACCAACTGTGATGAGACTTGCAGGCCATGCATCCCTCATCATTTACATGTAAGTCTACTTTAGGTCATTCATCCATATCTGACGAGCAGCTGATGTCATCAAAAGCAGACCAACTCATATGCTGCTCTGAGATCATAAAAAAATGCTGAAATCATTAATATGCATGCCTCAGGCTGCGTTTGATAAGCCAAACGTTTTCTAGTAAGACAACAGTGATCATTTTCCTCCCTTAGTTGTTTAAGGCGTATATTTCACTTACTATAAATGTGGGACTCATATTTTGAAAAACCAGCCCCAATTTGTTTACCATGCATTACTGGGCAACGACAGCACGAGGCATGTTCAAAACCACTTCAAAAAGCAAAATGCAAGATTTACAGATTACACATTTATTCTTCTTTACTTCGAAGAGGCATAAGGTGTTTTAAGTTACATCTATTTTTTTATGTGTTTATTGTGGAATTTGATGCATATGTTTCAACAAACACATGTAGACTGCCTAAAGCCATAAACTGTCTATACATGTATGTGCGGTAGATATCGGAGAACAATTTAACTTATTAAACCAATGCATTATATGGCACCTTTAAATACTCGACTTTGTAAAGCAGTAGGGATTTATAAGATTTTATATCTACTGAATAAAAATGCTATTGACGCTGCACAGATAATCATTAAAAGATCACAATGTCTATTAAAATGAAAGCTTACCCCAAAAGTTTTATTTTTTTAATCCAAACTTTTCAGAGTTATTTTTTCTGTTGAACACAAAAGAAGATATTTTGACAAAAGATAGCAACCTCTAGTCATTGACTGCTATAGTATTGATTTCTCCACCTATGGAAGTCAATATTTACAGGTTTTAACTTTCTCCAAAATATCTTCAGAAGAAAGAAACCCATAAAGATTTATAACCACTTAAGGATGACTAAATACTTTTTTGGGGTGAATTATCCATTTAAACACAAACAATTTTATTCATAAATGACCAAATTTGCATGTCTATTAAACCTTTGACAAGAGTGATCAGTCATTATACATTCAAATCGGCATTTGACCCAGAGAAAGCAGTTGATATGTTATTGTTATGAAAAAACTTCAACTCCACACAAGTAATAAATCAAGCATTTTTGATTACTTTCAATGAGTCTTTCATCTCACAGCATCTCAATTAGATTCAGGTCAGAACTTTGACTAGGCCAATCAAAAGTCTTGACTTTCACTCAAGACTTGCTGGTGTGCTTTGGATCATTGTCCTGCTGCAGAACCCAAGTTTGCTTTGGTCACTAACAGTTGGCCGGACATTATACTTTAGGATATTTTTGTACACAGCAGAATTCATTATTTCATTTATAACAGCAAGTCTTCAGGTTGTGAAGCAGTAAAACAGCCCCAGACCATCACACTACCACCAACACATATAATGTTGGTATGATGTTTTTTTCTGAAATGCAGTATTCATTTTATGGCACACATAATTGCACACACCTTCCAAAAAGTTGAATTTTTGGTCATCCACAAAGTATTTCCCCAAAAGTCTAGGGGATTATCAAGATGTTTTCTGACAAAACTGAGATATGCTTTTATGCTCTTTTGCTCAGCAGTGGTTTTCGTATTGGAACTCCATTTTTTATAGCAGAGTCATAAACACTTGTCTTAACTGAGGCAAGTGAGACCTGCAGAACCTTGGATGTTGTTATGGGGTCTTTTGAATGGGTTGGCGCAGCACTCTCGGGGTAATTTTGGTCCGCTAGCCACCCCTGGCAGGGTTCTCCACTGTTCCATGTTTTTGCCAGTTGTAATGGCTCTCACTGTGGTTCAGTACAGTCCCAAAGCTTTCAAAATGGATTCATAATAGGGCTGCACAGAACATTGTTTGGCATCGATATAGCAATGTGATCATTCACAATAGTCACATCAGAGGATCTGCAATGTCAAGTTCAGCTTAAGTTTATTTATCACTCAGGCAATTTGAGTGGAATTATAGCTGACCAAGAACCACATTTTTGAGAGATTGTGAAGTTTAACCTTACTAGAGTAAAAAAAGTGATGTTTGTTTTGTTTTTAAGGCGTATGACTGCCAAGATTTCAAGTCCATTTAAATAATTTGTGTTCAAAAAAATTATAGACGATGAAAATGTATTGTATTAAACTTTATTTGACTTTTATGAAGACTATGCCGTTTTATTTGCTTACATTTGATTATTCAACTTATAGTCAAAAACAGTTAGACTAACCCCCCAAAAATGTAATAAAACAAAATAAAATATGAATTATAAATATTATCTGGCCTATGAAATCATCCCAATCAATATAAAATTATGAGTTCTTTCCAAATTGACGGATTCAGGTCATCTGGTGAAATAATTAAATACATATTGCAATATATATTGCAAAAAACAAAATCTTGCAATGTCAGTTTTTTTTTTTTTCAAAATAATGCAGCCATACTTTATAACATTTTCCACACTGGTAGATCTTAATTATTTTCTTTCTCCTCATTTGCTTTTTTGAATTTCTTTGGATCTTAGCATGATGTCTAGCTTTTGAGGATCTTTTGGTCTACTTTCTTTTTTCAGTCCGGTCTTAAGCGAATTTATTTATTGTGAACGTGTGGCAGTAATCAGGTGTCAAAAATGTTTTATTGGGGGGAGTTTTGAACGGTAATTTCAAAACTGCACGATGTCTTGTGTTATCTTTAACTAATGTTTAAAGGGCCATGAAACACCCGTTTCAGCAGAGTGTTTTCACACCTCTAGTTTGGAAAAAGTCAGGAAAGTGGGTGTGTCTAGCTCTGTTTGGATGGGAGTGTCGGGGGAGGGAAAAGAGGGAGGGATTTGAATAAAAATGTGAATTTCCATTTGGGCACACGCTGATTTTCACTGAGGAAAAACAAACACACAGGCGCAGGGGAGAAAGACAGTGACTGTGTTTAATAACAGTGAAATGTTAGATACCGCATGTCGTACAAGAGAAAAAACCTCTGCATTTCTCGGTAACTCAGATGCACTCGGTAGGTCATAAGCCGTGTGTGTGTAGACTATCCTATCACAAAATGTGGCGAAAATTCAACACGACGGTCGGTATTAGTTTGCTTATCTTTTAGCCCATAATATTGTAGTGATATTAACGTACTGATAATTAAGTAACTTAAAAATTATTTTGACTAAGGTCTGTCTTTAAACACTGAAAGAGTACTGCTGACGATATGAACTATAACTTTGCAATCTGAATAAACAAAGAAAGGGCACTGATCGCACACACACTTGTATGTAGAGACTGGACTATCAACGCCAACTGGAGCCGCGTCTTTATTAAAAGGAGACGAGCAGCAAATCCGGATTTTACAATTTCCAGATGCCAGAAGCTCTCGAGTAAAAAAATGTTCCGTACAAACATATTTCTGCCGTGTGTCTTGTGCACCGATTCACACGTGAGTCTAGTTGCGCTCTCATAGCTGGAAAATGAAAACAAAACCTTCGTTGCAGCACATTATAAAAGTAACACTGACGACCTGTATCTCCAAACAATTCTTCTTCCTTTACCACTTGTTTTAGCAACACAAAGTGTCGTCTCTCTGCTGTCTGAACACTGTTTCAGGTTAGAACAGTCTTTGAAGCTATCATGCATATTAATGAAGTTGCACCGCATACACAATAGAGCGCGCTGATTGGTTTGAACCAAATTTTACTCATGAATGAATGAATACAGCACACTCAGAGACGTAATAAGGCACTCGCGTTAAGATCTCATGGCCGTGACGCAGCTTTAAAAATTAGTTTCAAACGGGAAGTACGAATTTGCTCGAAATAACGCAAAAACAACCAATTTTCACCTTTTAGTGAAACGTGTGTCCTAATAGTGTTTTTAGCAGTGTGGGACACATATACGACTGTCAACAGCACAAAAATGTGTTTTGGTGTTTTGTGTCCCTTTAAATTTGTTTGATGATCAGAAACATTAAAGTGTGAGAAACATGCAAAAAAAATTAAATCAGTATGGGGGCAAACAGTTTTTAACTTTTAGTAAATTATTTGTTATTTTATTAATGTATCTATTCAGAACTGTTGGAAAACCATGAGCTCTTTCAACCAACAAAAAACTGTGACCATCTTTTAAGTAGGAACATACCCCGTAACTGCAAATTGTACTCGTTCCTGCTCTCCTCATTACTTAAGATCTTCCAAGCTTGGTCGATGTCAATGAATCGCTGCAGGTGCTGCTCCGCTTCCTCTTCTGAAACGTCTGGCCTCTGCTTGTCTGGGTGAAACTGCCAATCAGAATGCACAGAGATGAGATTGGCAGAAATGAGAACCAATGACATTTTATTATTTACAATTGGACAATTATGTTTCATTGAATCACAACAGGATACAAAAGGTAGAAATTTTAAAAAACTATGTAAACAAGATGACATTTCTTGACTTAAAAATGTTCACAGGCAATTCGCTGATGGATTAGCTGTGCCTTTGGCCAACTTACTATAGAAGGCAAACCATGGACACTAAAATAGACAATGGTGCAAAAAACAAACAAAACTAAATATATATATCAGTTAGGACAGATATGTCTTCTCAATAACAAAACTGGTCAGAGTAGACAGTTAGAAGGGTAAAGGCCGACTTCTTCCTCCAGCTAAAAACACTAACATGATCTCCTAAAATATGACAGATCCTACCATAAACTCACTGCTTCACCAAAATATATAGTTTTACCCAGAAGACTAATGCAGCCTCCCTAAAGTGAGCTTTAGGGGTTACTTTGACAGTCCCTTCCGGCCTGGAAGGATTCTTACGAAGTACAGAACTATTCTTCTCCTTGAGGAATCTATGGACAGTGGGCTGTGGCTATCGATTAGTGAGGGTCGAGGGTCAGTCAAGCCGCGGGGCTCTTCATTTGCCCACTGGAGAAGAGCAAGGTTGAAAGGGGCAAACGGAAAACAACTTAGATCCTTTCGAGCAGGCATTCAACCAGACTCTGATTATGCTCTGGCACAGACGAGCAGAGCATTGCATGTGTGTGTGTTTGTGTTTCTGTATGGTCGTTATAGTTCAGAAGCTGCACTGCCGCCAAAGTCGGGTAATGATGCATGGGGTGACACTGGGCTACAATAAACGACAATCCGGGGCAAGCCAATTACTGTCCACAGCGATTATATTTTTAATTTTAAGTAACAGGAAGACTGAATTCAACTAATCATTTCAAGCAATTACGTTTAAAACTAATTAAAATTTAAGGGTGCCCGTTCTCCGTTGTTTCCTGTTCATCCCCCCCTCCTCTGTTTGTGTTTTTGTTGTTGTTTTCACTTTGTTAATAGGCGGTCAGAATGCGATGAGAAGAGGGACAGAAAAGCAACTGCAGCAACAAGCCAAAAATTAACTTCCTGATTGAGAGAATCATTAACAATTTCTTGGCGCTTTCACAGTGCGATTGAAAGAGGACACAGCCTCACAACCCACTCTCGAATATGAAAAAGAGGGAAGATCCTTCAACATTCTGATGTGAATTGTTCATTATGACCGTCCAAATGATGAAAGGCTTTTGTGGACATGTTCATTCTAGCACAAGCGCATTCACACGCCGATATTACAGATTCCAAGGTGGTAAAATGCGGGAAAAACATCCCTCTGCAGTCAAATCTCTGTTTAATTAAAAGTACCAGAGTAAAGAAGACATTAAGATTAGGAACTGCACAGGATACCAGCTAAGAGGATTAAATCGATTTGTGTTTAGGACGCTTCAGATCAGAGGATCAGAGAATGACCAGAGTTAAACAGCTAAAGCAAAGTCGTAAGTGAAACTTTAAATCAGCAAAGCTATTTAGAATAGAACTGGAAACATCACTATTAAATATTATATTATATGATGCCTCTTATATAAAATATAAAAATAAGGGCACTACGAAATGACGATGGTACTAAAAATTAAAAAGCAAGTACTTGCGCATACCTATAGACTAAAAGCCAACAAAACCATGATTTGGAATTTGCATTATGTTCAGAATGGTCTCAGTTTTTTAAAAAATTTGCACTTTGAGAGGAAATGCTGTATTTTGCATGCCAAGTCCGTAGATGGCGATGTCACTAAATTAAAACTATGGCTGTTTCTCTACTCCAAGAACACTGAGAATGGACACATGTTCTAGTGGAGTCCGTTCTTGCCAAGTTACCTTGGAGGAACAAACTCGGGAGACTGCGAAAGCAGAATGCGTCCTTGTAAATGTGTACTTTTTAATTTTTTTACAATAAGTTTTTTATGTACTTTTATAAACAGATCTGTTTGTAGGGAAAGTAGTTCAACCGTTTACTTTTATTTATCATTCCTAGTTTGAAGCTGCCTTTTCACTGCACACGACAATCGGACGTGACTGTCGGAATACACCCCCTTGTGACAGCCGCACATAATATTCAGTTTTGTCGTGCACCATAGTAATCTGGTTCTCATGGTCGTGTCCGAAATAAAAATGTGCAAAAGCAAAAGCCTATATTCTCTGTGAGTTCACCATGGTTGAATGAATGAATGAATGAAAGAATACGTATTATTGACTGCTGTAAATTTTGAAGGGAATGTGGAGACAATATTAAAAATAATATAACTTTTTATTACTCATTTTTTGAATAAAAAATTATTATAATTTTTTTTAATATAGACTTTTTTATAATAAAAAAAAAATTACGGAAAACCACTAGTTCTTATCTCACGTGCATGGACTTGCTTGGACAACCCTGAAATACATCACATCTGGTCGACTGGTCGCATATGGTCAAGTCGCAATAGTTCAAATATTTTAATGGATCCACAGCTCAAATCGGATCCGAATTTTCTGCATAAGAATTTTCCACTGGAAATGAACGACTTCCGATCTGTTGCTTGTCGTTTGTCGTGTGCAGTGGAAAGGCAGATTAAAACGAATTAGAAGTTGTAAAACAATCGCAGAAAATAGTTTACTTCCACATTGCAGAAAAAGTCATGTTCGCAAAATCTAGATAGATAATCCTGAAAATTATTATACAAAGTGAATAAATATATATTTACATATATTTGCATAAGTAAATAAATTCAATCATGGGCTAAAAATCTACGGATTCTGAGTGGCCCAAATAATGACCCCATTATCATGTATCATGTATCATGTATAGCTGTCGTTGTATAAATAAACAGCCAAAATACATTACAAATGAAATTTTTTAGTTGAAAGTGACATGTAAACGTCCCACCAGACTTAAAGTGCTTAAATAAACTACATAACCCTTTAAACTTTAAGCATATTATTTAACTTTTACAACACAGATATTCTGACCAATATTCTGACCAACAAAAAAGCCTATATAATAGCACATCATTATGTTTAGGTGTTTTTAGGTACAATAATAACCTATTTAGTAAAACTTCCTTACGCAAAATCTTTGAACGAAACTACATTACGCCCCCTGCTTTTGTTTCTGTGGTGTGGCAATCTGAACCCTCACTTTTCCCCCAATGCAATATGTTTATATCTATTCTCAGCCAGCAGCACAGAAACAGAAAAGCAGCTCTGTTTCTGAACCTTGAGAATGGTCGAGCAAGCTTGGCAGCACAATTTCTCTGTTACCTCCAGCAGGACGCCAGATTCTGCCAGCGAATTAGACTCTCTCCCCAGTGGCGCAATCGGAGATAGGGTTTTGCTTCCCTCTACTCTTTGTAGGTGAGCTTGAGGAGTCAGGACCACAGGTGTGAAGTGCAGCTTAGCCCTGGCAAGCACATACCGCTGCTCCACAAACATCTCACTGGGTAGCCTTTTGTCAAATAGACAGTCCCTGTGAACCGGGTTTCAAGTCTGTCGTAACTGAGTGTCTGATTGAGTGTCTGATGAAAAGATGAGGAAACGCTGGGCTGAATGTAGAAAAAAAATTTTTCTTTAAATCAACATGCGTTTTTGTTTAGTTTTTTTGTATATACAGGTTTAATTTCTTAAATGTGTTTGTATCATGCATGATTAATGTTTGATTTATTACATAATATTATGGATAATAACTAAACACAAAGACTATGGTTTACAAGCTGGGGTTAATTATATTTCTTCAGCATTTTAAATGACTAAAATTTGATAAAAACATTCAATATTTAATATTGAAAATATCATTAGAGTTCTTTTCATTGAACTCAGTTCTTCCTAAAACAAAGCTAAATTAGAAATCATTCTAATATGCAAATGTATTGCTCAACAAAAAATTATTACTTTATAATAATACAACTAATAAATATAAATATTATCATTATAACTATAAACTAATAAATAATACTAAAATAAATCTATTTTCGTACAGCTATTAAAGTCTTTTCTGCTATTTTAAACAGTTAAAAACAATCTTATTAAGCTCATTTTTTCATTTTATTATATTATCAAAATATATACTACATACATGAGTGACAGTGGCGTAGTGGGTAGCATGATTGCCTCATAGCAAGAAGGTCGCTGATTCAAGCCTCGGCTGGGTGGGTGGCATTTCTGTGTGGAGTTTGCATGTTCTCCCCGTGTTCACGTGGGTTTCCTTCAGGTGCTCCGGTTTTGCCCACAAGTCTAAAGACATGCGGTATAGGTCAATTGGGTATCAAAAATTGTCCATGGTGTATGTGTGTAGATAAGTTTGCTGTTCATTCCGCTGTGGTGACCCCAGATTATTAAAGGGACTAAGCCGAAGAGAAAATGAATGAATGCTGCATACAAAAAGAAACAGTAGTACAGCAGTCAACATTTGAAGTGTATCATCAAATTTCATCAAAGTTGTCCTAAAACTATTGAAGAACACCCATTCTTGTCCTAGGAATTCTGAAAAACATTTTTGATTCACATTTTGAAAGTTGACTACTGTATAATATGTTTATTTTATGCTGCATATAATTCTTTTAAAATCTGTGCACAGTTTTAAAATAAAAATCTGATTATTTTTCATGCTTATTTTATATTTATTGCTTAATATTTGCATTTAGATGCTTTAATACTTGTTTACACATTAAATTTATTTTTCAGGAAAATATTTGTCTTTCTATTTCAACACTACACGCTTAAATTAACATATTACTTGTTGATTCTTTTGTAATTATTATTACATAAATATTTATTCTGTAATTATTTGTAATTAAATGTTTTTTTATACACTTGTGTAAACTCTATAATATTAAATCATCCTCTAAACACATTTGAAGGTAAATGCTTAGGTAACCATCTCCTAAAAATCATTTCATTATGCATTAACACTGTAAAAGGTGTCTCAATTAAGATAACTTGTACCAATCAAAAAAAAAAAAATTATGTGGATTAAACATAAAAAATGAAGTGGACACAATGAAATCTCAAGATATGTGTTGTTTCAGCTCATATTAAATAAGTAGTTTGAACGAGCAAAAAAAAATGTTTGTTTGTTTTTATTGCAGACTCAACATTACAAACATGAGGCTGGTAATCTCACATCTTTCAATAATGTCACTCTACAACTTCCACTCGGCGCAGCTCAGGTAAATGTTATAAATACATAACACAACTAGAGGCTGGAGCTCAGTTAGAGCGGTCCGTCCTCCTGCCCCTCTGGAGTTACACGCTTTAATTGCTGTCTCTTTGCACGCATTGTAAAATATTCATTTACTGGGGCTAATGGAGCTTGGAGAGCAAGAACACAATATAAAGGGCTGGGCAATTTGGAGCACTCGCCAGCTCTAACAATACATCATCATCTCTCCAAGGCTGTGAAGGGAGCACTGCCACAGCCTCTGCTGGGCTTCGTGTGCCAGCCGCTCTCTGTGCTTCAGCGGAGAGACACAGGGCATAAAGGCTACTGCCATCACACTACTGCCACCTACTGCCAGACTGATCTCTGAGTCAATGAAGATGGCAATGATGTGAATGCAGACTGTAATCCTCAGTATTACAGGTTTTTGGGTTGTTTTAGCTCTTTAACTCATTCGTGTCCATGTTTTGCTGGTAGAGATTGTAAAATTATTATTATTCATTATTTTTTAAACAGACAGGATTTCAACAAAAGTTACACACTTTGTGTTCATGTCATTTTGGATGTTCAGATGTCTTCTTTTTCGTTCTCTAAAGATGTATAAGTATCAAAAAACTTTTTTTTTTAACGTACAATGCAACAAATGCAAAATATTTTGTTAAATAGCTTATTGACTATTGAAAATGTAGTGATTTTTATTAAAAATAAGCAATTTATAATAAGGTATGTAAATTAAATTATATTAACCATTTAAATTCAAGTCTATTTTGAATCTTTCTTTGTGCATTTATCAGAATTAAAAAAGAAACTGGGGGTAAATGAAATAACGCAATATAATATTGTTAACATTCAAACCCTTTTAGTAGTATTGACTCTTTAAGAGAAACTGCTTATCAGAAAGAATATAATTTAGCTGAAGAACATTCATTTATAAAAGCGTATTTTATGATTCTTTTGGCTTCATAAACTTGAGGTGCTTTACAACAATCAGTTATAAATGAATGTTACTATGATTACAAGATCAAGTATAAAATGTGTCTCATTCTTTATTACATCTCACACATTTAGTATATGTGTGTGTGTGATTTGAAAAATTCTTTAAAATATGACAATTGACAAAAAAAGCATAAAGATTCACATAAATTACTTTGTAAATGACTATTTGGTTATAATGCTACAAAACTGGCTTTAATTTCTGAGAAATTTAATAAGAAACTGTTTTTTATCTGATTTTGTCTTTTTATAAAACAATGTGACTGTCATTACCAATCACTTCTCAGCTGTATATTGCATAAGGCATTGGACAGTGGCCCTCAAACTGATTCAACAAATTGCACGGCGCACATCCTGATTGATCGACTGGTGTTATGTGATTGCTGTAATCAAAATGGGTTTGGGATTAAACAAATCAGCTTAAGTATAACTTGACTGCAATAAGTCAACCTGCAATGTGCATTAATGAGAAATACTGATGCCATTGATTAATTGTGCGTATGTTTCCCCGAGCTCGTATTTAGCAAGAACAATTTGCCCTTGGAGGGAACTTTGTCGAGAGAATCAAGAACGATCTGCATAATCTTGATCTCGCTATGCATTTTATCTTTCTGGGCTCAGTAGATATGCAGAATTTATTGTGTATTAAGCATTTATTATGGCAGTAGCTCTTAGTCTCTTTGACTCCAATGAGCAACATTTTCTAAAAAATAAAAATAAAATAAAAAACCTAAGCATATCAATAATAATAAAAAATCTAATTAATTTACGATATTAGAAGTATCAAAGCTGCTTGTTAGTCTCTATTATGTAAATTAAATATTATCTTGGAAGAGATTAACCAATATATAAATTAACCAAAAAATAAATAATTAATGGATCATTAATATGTTATAACTATTTAAATTTCCTTTTTTTTTTTTGTTCATAAACAGCATAAGAAATAATTCTAATATACTGATTTGCATAAAATATTACTGATGCTCAATTATTAATAAAATGTATAATCCAAGTCAGAATATTAAAAAGCATTATATCATTGTAATTCTAATGATCCCATTTATTAGTGGCAATAATTTAAGTGAATTAGGTAAATAAGACAATTTGAAGGCCTACAGACTGATCATTAGTATTGCAGGAATATTTGAATCTTCATTAAAAAACTTTAAATCTGTACTCTAACATTCTGAAGGACTGGTATTTTATGAAGCAGCCATAAAGTTTTGGGTTTTTTAGGTGGGGGGGGGGGTCATTTTGTATATGAAAAAACAAATATTGAACAGTACAATTTTTCATTCTCATTACTTCATAATGTATAAAGTTTTTTTCAAGGCTCTAGATAGTAAAGCTCAAAATGTCTTCTTTCCAATGATACCTAATTTTTGTTTGTAGCTCACTGGGATCAACAACTGCTATTTTACTTTAGGTAGGTGTACATACCCATGTTTGGTGTTGGCTAACAGGTTAAAGAAAAAAAATCTTAGATATTTGAAGTAACACATAAACAAAAAAATATATAATGCAATAATATATTTTATTAGTATTCGATCGACTGATTACATCATTATATGAAGTGTAAATAAAACCAATTATTATTAGAACTGACCTCATGAAATGTAATTACATTAAACGTATACTCTTAAATTTATGTGAATTTGATTACATTTGAACTCATGATGACTGCTCAAAAACAGTCCAAAATTATGAAACCTACATATTTATTTCTTGCAAAACCATATAACTCCACTACTTTCCTTCCACCTGCAGTCACTAGTTTATTTATGGGGGTTGGGGGGGCGAGGCAGTGGCGCAGTAGGTAGTGCTGTCGCCTCACAGCAAGAAGGTCGCTGGCTCGAATCTCGGCTCAGTTTGGAGTTTGTGTGGAGTTTGCATGTTCTCCCTGCCTTCACGTGGGTTTCCTCCGGGTGCTCCGGTTTCCCCCACAGTCCAAAGACATGCGGTACAGGTGAATTGGGTAAGCTAAATTGTCCGTAGTGTATGAGTGTGTGTGTGTAAATGTGTGTATGGATGTTTCAGAGATATGGGTTGCGGCTGGAAGGGCATCCGCTGTGTAAAAACTTGCTGCATAAGTTGGCGGTTCATTCCGCTGTGGCGACCACGGATTAATAAAGGGACCAAGCCAACAAGAAAATGAATGAATGGGGGTTGGTAAAATCTGACCTGTGATTGCAATCAAATCGCACAAAGAAGGTAAATCACGTCATAATGAACTACCTCAAAACATGGGTCCTTTATAGTTGCAGCAAACAGTTTGGAAGCATTAAAAATGTTCAAGAATATGTCCAAAATCCTTAGACGCATTGACCCAGAGACTGTTTAGATTCATGTCACTGATGAGAAGATGACGGATGTTTATTGTATGAT